TTTTTGAAGTACATAAAAAAAATTAAAAATTAAACCAGGCAAGTAGAGGACCTAAAAAAAGAAAAAACTAAATAATTTAAGTCAGCATGTATGAAAAGAAAGTACCAGGAATGGCTGATTTAGTTGAAAAGCCACCCAATTTGAAAAAGACAAAATTCATAAATATTTCTAGCAACAAGAGATACACATACCCAAAGCAGATATTGTATCAGAAACCAGACCCATTATAAAGATACTCTTGGAGAAACTGAATCATTGAGTGGGCAAGAAATACTTGCCCTTGAAACGTTTCCAGTTTATAACTCCAACAACCCTGAACTAGGCGAGTGCTAAGATATCAAATGATTTTCCAAAACCACCTGAAAAGAAGCCAGAGACGCTCCAGGATTTACTTTTTTCTTAAATAGCTTAATTTCTTCTCTACACCAAAAGTACATTGCTTCTAGCCCCAACAGGGAATTTTCTGCCAAGACTGCAGGAAAGAAAAAAAAAATATCCAGAACACAGAATATTACACTCAATTAATTACATGCTTAATTGCTCTCTTCTTTTAACAGCCTAATGAATAGAGCAAGTTTCAGTTTCAGTATATGTAGCCCAAAGTTTCAAGTTCAATAAAGGAGACGGGACTTATTTGAAATGTCTGTGCTAAGATCAGACTTGTTCATGTAACCAGGAGTAAACAGAACAAAAACACCTATGCCCCCTTGCTTTCTACCTAGACCATCCAGGAGCTAACAGGTAGGGGTTTTCTGTACAACCTGAAAAGAGCATCTTGTGTGTCATGGAAGCTGACAGCCTCAACCAAACTTAAGAACCCAGCTCATCATAGAGCTCAAGCCAGTGGACCACCATGTGTCAATGGAGCTTCTTCTCTTCACTCCCCTGGCCAGGACTCGGTTGCACTATTGACTCAACTTACGTTTCTGAGTCAGTAGTCTGAAAAGTATCCCAAGGCACATACAACTTTCATTTCAACTTTCCTGAGGCACACATCAAAGTGATATACCAGGAAGCCAGCTGGCAAGATGTAGGTTCCAAATGTTTGCATAAACTGCAAGTTAACTATTAAACTTCTGGCAAACAGCCCACTTCCAGTCAGAGGCACTTGCCCTCATTAAGCCCAAGCAAATAAAAACAAAGTCTCTAAGGTAAGGAAGGCGCTCAAGATGTTACCTATATAAAACAAACACTTCATTTTAACAGTCAGATTCAATTTGGCTTTTACTCTCTGCACTGTGTACCTGCATAAGGCACGTTCTTGTCATTTAAAAGCAAATCTGCTTGTTCTTGCTAGTAAACCAAAAATCACCTTCCTTTCTCTCTACTAACAGCTGTACACACAAAGGAAATAACTGTGGCGATTTTTTCTTTAAGAAAGGCATAGTTCTCTCATGCATTCCTAAACTCAAATGTCATACCTATCTTGTTGAAAATTCTGCAGGAAAAGCTGATGCGTGTCGTTTCATTTACAGACGGCATTATATGATACCCTTTGTCAACTCTTTTATAATCCTGAAGTTCAAGAGACAGTAATTTTTTCGGTTTTGCAATGGAAATTTAGCTTTGGCATTGACAATGGAGAGAATGGGCACATGTACACAGATAATTCAGTCAGACATGAGCTCAGTCAGACCGTACTCCAAGCTGGCCAGACACGAGCCAGCTCTAGCTCACAAGTCCTGTAGCTGTGTTAGCACAGTGCTGTGCCCACACTAATAAAACCTGCTGAGAGAGGCAGGGCATATTAGGCTGGGCACAGTCCTACACTGTCTGGCCAACTTCAATCAAGGACAGAGGATGTTGGGTCTGTCTGCATCCATCTGTGTACATATGCACTCCTACTCTGAAAGGCTCCAAATTCTGTGCATCTCATCTTCTGAAGACTTTTTTCTTACTTTATAAACTAGAGGGCTAGGGCACAGCATACATTTGAGATTTTAAGTATCCTCCTTGACCACAGCCATACTAATTTCTTGTTGCTGTTCCAATGAGGACTTAAAAAAAAAAAAGGATAATTACTAGTGCTACAGGGTAATGAGGGGCTAGGGCAATCCAATGGATTTTATTTACAGAAAAGTACTTCCAAGAGCTCTGAAACAGAACTTGTTCTTTATAGTAGCAGGATTTTCCCCAGGCATTTATTCTCTTGTGGAATTTAAGAATTATAACTCGGCTCTTGTCAACACCTCAAAAACAGAGGACACATTTTAAGTAGTATTCATGTCTATCTCAAAGTAAACAAACAAATAGAAAATTAAGATATTAATTGGAAAAATAGTGAAGCCTAGTTTTTAGAAAAATCCAGAAAACAAGGCTATGAAAGGAGTTCTCTAAAAGTTTTGCTCCAAAGACACATGCAACTAAACTCATCTTTGCCTGTACAAGGAAATTACTCAGTGTTCCAGGGATGGAAAAAACCCATGTCTTAATAATCAACTGACACAGAAACCAAAGGACAGGTGTGCATCTCTGAGCTCACATAACCAGCCCAAAAGATCAAGGAATAAAACTGTAACATGAACATGTTAATAACATTGAGTTTTCCTTAATAACAAATGCCCTGGAGCAGCTTAAGGCTGACACGACTTCTCCATTTTACATTTTCTTCATTTAAAAAGGAGATTAAAAAGTCCCTAAAACAGCCAACCAAAACAGATTTAGTGAGCTACACATTTGATTTTTAGGAAATGCAGTAAGAAATCCTTGAATTATAAGACACTACCTATGCCAGCCCCTTCAGTCTTGCCTGTGAAAATGCGGACAGGGTAAAAAAGGCCAGTGTAAGACTGTCTTTATTTCCAAGTAACTTCTCATCTTTTAACTTTTTTGTTGTCTAAAATAGGCCTTCCATGGTTTGAAATGAACTAGACTACTGACTAAAATGTCACGCCAACGTTCAAGATATCTACAGCAGCCTTCAGACTCAGGCCCATTGATGTGAACTGAAGTTCAGCTTACTGAAAAATGAAATTTAATCTTGTATTCAATTCAAAGTAGCCTTTGAATCAAATTTTAAATTTTCTTATACTCAACAGTATTTTAAAAACAGAACTCATATTTAGATTTATGCTTTAACATCCATCATGTGGGTCCATTTGTACACTTAGGTGCCACTGTGAATGAAAAACCCATACAAAGGTATGATCCAAACAAGTTCAGGGAACGGTGACAAAGGAAGACAGTTTAAGACTAGTGTTATTTTTCATTGGAGTAGTCTGCATGCTGCAAAAATATTAGATCGTATTAGTCAATACTTTAGTTTGCAACACCTAAGTATGATATGAGAGCTAATATAGAGCCCTTACTAAAAATTACTCATCTGACTTCAGAAATATGAATTCAGTATTCAGAGAATTCTACAAGAGAGATTTTTGAGAGAGTAAAAAAAAAAGGTATTTTTCATTTTGATTTACAGTATGTACAAGAATACTCAAAATACTGGGTAGAACAAGTTCTAACAAACATTCATTGCTGGTGACAATTAGACAATTAAATGATTTTTTGGCTAAGTGGCAGTGTTGAATATGCACTTCTAACGTACTAGAGCTGTAAAATTCATGTACCGTGCACACCTGCACTAAAAACACCTCCCAGTGCAGAATTTTCAGAGGGAAGCTGAACCCTACCCTTAGTGACAGAAGGAATGATTTTTCCATCTGAATTAAATAGAAAACTAGTCCATTCAAGTTTTAAAAAACAATCAGACTTCTAAAATATGGGAGTTTGTCTTCCCCAATCCACTAACCAAAGAGAAGATAGATTAAAAAAAAAAAAAGCAGTTAATATATAAAGTTGGTTAGAGCTTATTAGAGAAATAGGCAATTTACATCCAAAGACGAATGTGACATAAAAGACACAAAGAACTTGTGTATAAATTTTTACCTTAAATGCAGAAATCTAATAATACATGAAAATATAACCAGACTATAAAATTGTTTAGGAGGGATATTCTGTTGTGTTTAGACACACACATACAACAGGCAGACAGCATCCATTCCACAAAGAAAAATGTAAACTGATGAATCTCCAATTTAAATGTCATCAGGGTCATTTGAGGGGGGTTGGACAGGACACAACCCAGTAATAAACTAAAGGAAAAGAAGTGAAAATAATTTGAATGAAGACTTCTTGGCTATTCAGACATTTAAAAATACATTTCATAATTAACAAATTTTATCATTTGTCCAGAATGTTAATACCATGACTTTAGAAGAAGTGTACATATTTTTAGCATCTGGTCAGCTATCCTGCATGTAATATTTGCATATGTGTATATATATATATATCCTACTGTTATCTCCTACTAGGCAAAAAAAAAAAAAAAAAAATAGTAAATGCACTGTGGAATCAAAACCAAAGCAAAAGTGAAACTCAGGTGTAGTTTTCTGTACCACCCTCTAAAAACCAGAAGGCTTGCTGTTGTCTCCCTAAAACCAGCCTGCAATAAGATAGTTTACTGACAGTTAAGGCTGTTTCAAGTGAAGAGCTGCTCAAGTGAAAAGCTGCAATTCAAGTAGGGCATTGAGCAGAAGCTAAAGCCAAGAGCCAGACTTGAAGATGCACAATAACATTCCTTTGTCAGACCAGAAAAGAGTACTTACTGCCAGAACTATGTGACTGTACACCACATATTAAAGACAGTAATTAAGTATTTCACACCAAAGCAAAACAATTATCATGAATGCAAGCTACATGGTCCCTACTAAGGAATTCTTTTCTGATCAGCTATCAAAAACCTACTTTTTCCAGCAAAGCTCCACTTGAATTTCCTACTGCTGCTACTTGGTTTTGGTAGCAAAAGGCAAACTACAGGCTGGTTTTTAAGTGATTCAGCATGTTAAATTAATGAATTATGGTTAGCCTAAATTTACTTTATCGTAAAAGTCAGACAATGCAGATGTGAGCTTGCAGAAATAATTTTCCAGTGCTAATACTTAAATGGTACCAAACAACAGAGTTTTATAAGAGCAATATCAGCAACAATTTGTATTACTTACCGGTATATAATAGATACTCATTTTAGGGGCTTCATTGGCAGTCATTAACATTCCTAAAAAGAGATTTCTAAATTTAAAAATATTGATCACAAGTGGAGAATACTTTTTTTTAATACATATACTTGAGGCATTTAATTCACATGAAGTAAATTTGTACATAGGACTTAAAATATCATTCCTGGAAAAGAAACTGAAAAAAAAAAAAAGAGAATTGCAACTTGAGTATTTGTCGGGAAAGAACCCTTCACAGGACAGGGGAGGAGGGGTGAAGTCTCATTATCTGTAGTTCAGACAGTACATATTCCTGGTCTGCAACGGAACACTTAATTGGGACCCTCAATAAATTTTTTTTCCAAATATTAAAGAAAGGTCACACAATTAACACAGCAATACAAGTAACAAAGCTTTGTTTCCTACATACTCATTTCTGTTGAGTTACTGGACTGTTTGGTGGATGAGGAATTGCTTGGATGGTCACATCCAGAGGGTGGTGGTCAACATCCAGATGGAGACTGGTGACAAGTGGTTTCCCTCAGGGGTCCACACTGGGACTAATGCTCTTTAGTATCTTCATCAATGACACAGACAGTGGGATTGAGTGCACCCTCAGCAGGTTGGCAGACGACAAAAAGCTGAGTGGTGCAGCTGACACACCTGACAGGTGGGATGCCATCCAGAGGAACTTGGAGAGGCTTGAGAAATGGGCCTGTATGAACCTCCGGAGGTTCAAGAAGGCCAAGGGCAAGGTCCTGCACCTGAGCTGGGGCAACCCCTTGTATCAATAGAGGCTGGGTGATGAAAGGATTGAGGGTAGCCCTGAAGAGAAGAACTTAGGGATACAGGTGGATGAAAAGCTGGATATGAGCTGCCAATGTGCACCCATAGCTCAGAAGGCAAACCATATCCTAGGCTGCATCAAAAGAGGCATGGCCAGCAGTTCAAGGGAGGTGATTCTGCCCCTCTGATGCTCTCTGGTGAGACCTCACCTGGAGTACTGCATTCAGTTCTGGAGACATCAGACTCTGGACCTGTTGGAGTGAGTCCAGAGGAGGGCCACAAAAAAGATCAGAAGGCTAGATAGAATACATCTCCTGGAAATGTTGAGAGAGTTGGGGTTGTTGAAGATGAGACAGTTCTGGGAACACACCTTATTGCAGCCTTTCAGTGCTTTTTTTTTTTTTGGTGCAGGAGTAGTGAGACACTGGCACAGGTTGCCCAGAGAGGTGGTAAAGCTCCATCCCTAAACATCCAAGGACAGGTTGGACGGCCCTCTCAGCAACCAGATCTAGTTAAATATGCCCCTGCTTGCTGCAAGGGGACTGGAGTAGATGACCTTTAAAGGTCCCTTCCAAACCAGAGCATTCCATGACTCCCTTTCGTCCTCTGTCTTAACTGTTCAGCACCACGTCAATCAACACTAAGTCCGGACAACTCCAGGATGACAATTTTTATAGCAAATTTATATTTCATCCCATGATACTGCTTAGAACAAATCCAGTTAGTATGGCACTTAAAACCTACCTTGGCCATAAACTTGTATTATTAATACAAGGCGGCTTTGGGGTTTTTTGTTTTTAAACACACAACTATAGTCTAAAAGTTGTAAACCATAACATGGTTTAAAGCTTCGTTCATATTTCACTTTGGTTCTCAAAACAAAACGAGAGACAGGATATTGTGGCTTCAAAATGCAGTAATATTAGTGATACAAGCCAACCAGAGCAGATGTAAAGTTTGAAATATCTATGAATATATGTAAGAAACACCATGAATAAGGGTTGTAAGTACTCTAAATATAAAAAAAACCCCCATAGAAATATTAATGGAACAACTCCAACTGCTACAAGACTCCGTTTCAGTTCAGAATGAGAAACACTCTCCATTTCTTTCTACATAGGACAGTAATAAGTACATTTGGAATACAAAATGGACACAAATGTCTAAGTGTCTTTCCTGATCACAAGGAAACGTAGCTGATCACCAAGTAAAAGAAGAGATGGTATACGAAAAAGAAAACAGCAACCAAGTTAGATAACTTTCTGATCTAAAAGCACTGTAACATATGCCACTGAGACTATGAATAATTGGGTCAATTACTACACACCCAGAGGGCAGAAATATAATTTACACCCAACTAGAGGAACGCAATTAACATGGGTGGAGTAATCCTTCCTACCTAATCCTTTTATTAAAAATACACAATGCAGCTGGACTTATAATGTCAGAAAAAAGGGGGCTTGCTTTCCTTTGCCTTCCTGGCAAAGCAAGAAACTTGTGAAAGCTTAGTCAGCAAACCTGGGTCTAAAAGCCATACCTGGAAATATCTGCAGGCAATTTCAGGAAAAAAAGCAGGAATTTAAAGTAGATACCTATATACACACATAATGTACTACAGTACAGTATATAGATTATGTGCTCCCTCAGTATATCAGGATGCTCACTACTGTCTCAGGAGACAAAGCATTTCTCCACTGACCGAGTATGAATCACTAGAGAAAAAAAGGAAAGAAATTAATGCTGCAGGTGCTTCAAAGATGACAGTAAAGGGCAAACCTCTTTGAGAGTCTTCCACCAATAATTAAAGGAGGGAAAACCAGGCTTCGGAACAGTACATGGGCAGGCATATACTACAGAGAAAATAATGAAAAGAGGAACAGCTCTGTGAAAGGAGAGGTCTACTACATGCATTTTCACTGTTTCAGCATGCTAACTTTCAACCACTTTTTATGGGAAGAGAACCAACACCCTAACAAACTACACAGCACCCTCGTTTGATCACTTCAAAAGGAAATGAGTGAGAAATCTTTTTTTCAGAGAAGATGTTTTAGTGAGACCGTATTTGAGAAGTGGTCTGCAATAACATCTCAGCAATTTAAAGATAATAGGAGTATGAAAGGGTAGTAAATGGTATAGAAAAATGCAAATTGTTAATTTGATTTTTCCAACAATTGAAACAAATGAGGCACAGATTTCTATACCCTGAAAATGCTGTTAAGTTTCATTTATATTTTACAACGTCACTGAAGCTGAGTCCAGGCTAAAACTTTTTTCACCTAGCCCCACTCTGTGCATGTGTGATCAGAGAAAATAAATCGACAACTAGTTCAAGAGACCCACTAAAGTTTGCCATCATGTAGCTTGGCCAAAGATTCACAAGGGTTTGCTTCCCATGAAAGGAAGTAATACCGAAGCTGGTTGGTAAAATAATTTAATTTTTAAAAATTAAAATCATCCACCAAACAGCCCACTGATCTCAAATACCCCCAAATGACCTCATACATACAAACAGGCATGTGAGATGCACCCTTAGCACCATGCCATAAAGTCCCTGCTTTGGCAGGCTTCAATTCTTTGTTTACGTTATTTTTTGCACTTTGATCTGAGAAAAACAAATACATGGAACAAATATAGAAATGGTACCAATGTCTTGTCAAGAGCTCAGAAAAACCTAGTCCAATTCCCAAGTAGTGAGACATCACTGTGTTTCAGTAGGGGCTATCCCTGAGCAGCATGGAAGTAAGTTAATATTTTCATCAGCAAGGCCCTGCAGACCATTACTTATGCTGCTGCATAAGGTCAAAATGCCCACTGTCTCAGCAGGGATCACTATTTAAGAGCTCATCTTCCAAAAAAAAAAAAAAACCAACCCACATTCTTAACTGAAGTTGGCAGAAAAGACAAGATAAGTCTTAACTCGTTAAAAATCTCAAACTCACTTATCTACAATCATGAGTTTGAGGTGCTAGTATGAATCAAAGTCCAAGTTGCTCTGTCTTCGCTGCTACCTTTCTCTAAAATTAAGATAATAGCAGAGTTTGCAACATGGGCATTCTCTAGATCAAGAATTTTGCCCTGTGCCATCTTAGTGACCCTGATTTTTATTACATCTTTTCCCGTACTGCTTTCTGAAAAGGAAGTAGGTGTCACATAGCAGTTAAGAACTAAGCAACTCAGATGAAGCAGGGAAACCAAAGGCAGCTGCAAACCAAGGTACAACCACAGCCCATGTGCACATATAACCACCATTTTATACAATATTTTTACTCATAAAGCAGGATCCGGAAACTCTGGTTAAAAGTAACCCTCAGTTTTGACCTCTACACATAACATTATGAGATACAAAAAAATATGACAAGTCACAAAAAGCATGCAAATCTGTGGAATCTACACTTAAAACTAAAGTATCCAACCTAAGGGAGTGCAGAGAAAGTGCTATATTTAAAACAAGGAAAGACCAAATAGTTGTAACCACTTGTAAACATTTGTATATGTGCTGTAAAGAGACTCTTCCTAGCTATAGAAAGCAAACTCTTTAAGAGCTTCTAAGCATTTGGGTTTTTTTCCCCTCTAAGCATCTGAGACTTAGCCTGAGACAGAAGGCCGAAATTGCTGTTCTTATGAAGCAAAACATTTCAGATATTTAGAAGAGCAAAAGAGGTCAATCACTCAATGGACAGCACAGCAGCTTCTAACTGCAAAGAGGCTCTGATTTCAAACAGATGTGGAGGAAAGAATGACACTAACTGACAAATAACCATTTTTCCCTAGCTCTGTCATAAGGAGGGAAGTAGACCTAATTTGTATCATCTACGTAAACAAAAACCAAAACAAAACACCACCTTGGGTTAACACAAGCTTTCCATTTTCAACTTAATAAGTCATTAATATGTCTAACATACCTGAATTTGGATACAGGCAGACATCATTTATTTCATATTCTGGCTCCATTGAAGTAAATATCTTCCCCTGAAATTGTAGGAAGAAAAATAAAGAACTCCAAACAATACAAATTCAGTAAATCTAGATATTAAGAATAGCCATTAGAGAAGCTAAGGAATATGATAAAGATGGAACAGATTTTGCAGAACAATAAAATCTTACTAAATTATCTGAACATAACACAAGGAACTCAATATTGTATTTTGCCTCTGATACAATCTGTTATAAGGAAGTGCAGCCTAGTGGTTATTGAAGACACAACAATAAACAGTGGCACTTCCAATTTCTCAATTCACAATTCTGTGTTGAAAATGTGTCAGATTTACTTTATTTTATGTAAAAACAAGGGTGAGGTCCCCAAGTTCCTGGCATGCCGTCAGTGTAACCCTCATTTTGTCCAGCTCTGAACACGGCAGTTTTAAATCATTTTATTTTTGTAAGTATTATTAGCTGAAACAATGGCTTGGGAATAGGATTTGATTCGTGATCTTGGTTCTTCCACCCTGGTCATGTCTAGACAAAATGAAATATAGCTCAGCAATTTATAATTTACACATTCAGTATTAAAGAGGCTGAAATATAAAAGTAGCAAAAGCATGCATTGGTATCTATCTAGTTTAGGCCAGAATTGAAGTTGTAAAGATTATTTAAGAAAGAGGTAAAAGTAGGAAACATCACCAAAAAAAAAAAAAAAAAAAGAGAACTGGAGCAGAGTCTGAAAAACCCAGACAAAATAATACAGGTGCTCTTATAAGCCAACACACAAGACAGCCAGTAAAGGAAGAGTCTCTAAGAACTGGGCCACAGAATCTGAAGCATGAAAGTACATGTCTACATGGTTCTAAATGAGGGACAGGAACAGAGCAAATTTTGATCCTAGTCCTCTTTTTTCTTTCCCTGGAGCAATCCCACCTACCTTTCTGGGCCCTTCCTTTCCCTCCCAGTTACATGCTGTTACCCCACCCACCTCTGGTCTCTCCCGGATGATTAATAAGAGTCCTCCCCCACCCTGGTCTTAGCAGACAAAAGCCTCATGCTCCCCACCCCAAGGCACGTCTCAGCATGGGGCTATTCTGGTATCAAAGCCATATGCTCTCCACCCCACTGTCTGCCTCTGCAGTTGGTTCTCAGCCAGAGATAGTCAGGAACCAACATCTGGGAGAGCTGGAGCCAGCTGGAACATACTCTAGGAAAGAGGCCAAAGCTATCTTTGCCTTCCAGCAGAAAGAAACCCTCCCTTTTCCCACTGCAGAGGCCACCTGACAAACCTTACAGCTTTTCATTCTCAGTGAGGGAAATATATATACCTAGGAAAAATGAGGAGAGGCCACTGCAGATGTTTGAACTAATAACTAATAATTTATTTCTCTTTTAAACAATACAAAATAACTGCAGAGGAGCTTACAAAAAAAAAATGCTTGTGATCACAGAAAAAAAATAAAAGAGGCTGTTGAAAGTTCATGAAGAAGCACAACAATAGAGAAAGGACTGCCTGAAATGGTCAGAAAAAAAAAAAGTGCCTCTAAACTACTACAGCTGCTCTTTGGACATTTCACTATAAAGCCAGAAGCACAGACAGAGCACGTTTTTAGAAGCAATACAATGACTAAAGATTGCCCCTCCAACCAAACCAAGTTACACTAGTATTACTATGAATCTCTGGGGTAACATATTCTGTGCAAGCTTCATCGACAGAAAGGTAAGAAGAAGAACAGCACGATATAATGAAAGAAAGCAGCAAGGAAGGTAGAGAGTTCAGTTTCACATAGAAGTACAAAAGGCAGGGGTAAAGATGTTGTCTACTACAACAAAATTCATTAATACAGCACAACACATTCTTACTCAGATCTAGGCATAGTATCTGTTCAATATCCAAACAGGTTTCTGTGGAAACAAGCAGCACCTGATTTGAACAGGTCACGCACTAACTGATCTACCTCTCAAGTCAGCCCTTCTTTGAGCAGAGAACTGGAATCAACCCATTTTCTCTGATGAAAAGTCATAACTGGATGTGTTCGAGCACACTGTGAGAAACACAAACCAGGGCAATGGCCAAGAAACTAATTTTTATGTTTAAACCCTTATCCTGAAAGAACCATCCTAAGCAGACATGTATGTACAGCTAAAAAAATACCCAAAACTACATCTTTGCATCTGACAGGCTGTTAATAACTTCCCAGATGTTAGTTTATTTAGTCATCCAGGACTAAATGTAATCTAGGACATGTTAAAAAAAAAAAAAAACAACTTCCTACACTGAATTTCAGCTTTACTATTCAAGGTCCATGGGAAAAAAACCTAAACCAAAACAAAAGTAAAAACTAAGAAATCTGAATGCAGCAACATCAAAACACTCACCGTATCTTTGTTCCACATTTTTATGATTCGAGAATCTGCAGAAATAATTAAATCCAACTGATGTTGAAACTGCACTGACTTAATAGGGAGGCCATAGTGGTGATCTTTGACTATTAATGGATTACTAGACCGGAGATCATATAATAAAACCTGGGAGAAGAGACAGATTAAACTTACAGTATTGTAAGATCAAGAGGATGTCACATGCACCAGATCTTCACTGAAGATTTAACTAAACTTGAAATTTTTTACCTAAACACATGGACAAAATTTATATAAAATAAATAATTTTAAATTCTGAAAACAGATTATAAAGTGATCCCAGTTTATTCTGGCAATGCGTTTTAACCTCAGTATACTTCAGTATAGAAAAATGAAGAGCAAATTTAAGAGCTCACTATCTTTATAAAGATTTTTTAGTTTATATTGAAAAAAATTAGCCATTTTCAAGGCGTTTAGTAATTTCTTAATTAATATTTCACTTTCTGATTCTTAAGCTCAGTTTACAAGATTTAAATTTTCAGACTCCTTTCCACATTCAGTGATTATCACTTTCACTTGGTGAAAAACCACAGAACGTAACTATGTGAATTTTAGGGGAAATATAAACTCCAGGCCCTAACTTCCAGAAACCTGTATTTTTATCTCCAAAGTTTCCTACAGAATTTAAGAAAGACCTTAAATCTTTCACATGCAAAATATGAGTACTATAATTTTTGGGAAAAAAAATCTTAGCCATTTGTTTAATACAAAATAGAACCTCCAATAAAGCTTGCCTGACATGCATACATTACTGAAAATACAACTCTTACATACATAACTGCTCTGGAACAAGCTGCAGTTTTCTAAATCCATGAAAAGGTTGATGATGGCAGAAAAAAATCCCCATAGTCTGCTTTACAAATATGATGGTGACAATGAATGAATCAAAATGATCCCTTATAAAAAGATAAGGCAGTCTTCTATGACTTTTCTATGAAAGACAATCATAGAATCATTTAGGCTGGAAAAGACCTTTATTACTGAGTCCAGGCATTAGCCTAACACTACCAAGTCCACCATTAAACCACATCCCTAAGCGCCACATCTACGTGAGGATCCCACTAAGCCCCAGTGCCAAACATTGTTCATTTCACAACAGATTCCAAGTACAGAAAGCACCACTTCTTTGGTAAAAACCAGCATGTTAGATTTGAAACACCTCAATCATTATGATTCTTGCACTGAGGGAGGGGGGGATTATATTTTTTAAAACACCTCAGATTTTGTCACAGCTCCTGGGAAGCCAGGATTACATCAATCACTTCTGCTGCTTTAGCCACCATCAAGGGAGAGCATACACGTTGCTTTGAGATGGTACTGATGAAGTCACAAAAAGCAGCAACTTCCTTGCATACATGACTCTTAAGTCATACGGAAACTGCAGAATTTGGAGTTATATAGTATGTAGGTTATGATGACTAAGTGGTCACTACAGTATTCTGAAGAGCAAGATCATTTGATGAAATTAATTTGCAGTTTAAGAATGACTTGCTACTCTATACAAGTAATTTATGCTCTTACAAAGACTTGCATTAATATATACTTACGTTACTGTAAGTGCACTTAATGTATGACAGACTTGAACTAACAACTGCAAGAACAGGATGTTCTAAGAACTGTTACAGCTCAAGATAAGTCTACCTGCCCAGTAGATGTTCCAACAGCCATATTCAAAGCTCCATCAAACTTCAGTGCTGAAACGGATGGCAAACCTTCTATCCTGCAAAGCACAATGCTTATAATTAAATATTCTTTCAATAAAGGCTGAAAATAACTTTTAAATGTTATAAATAGAAAAGATAATAAATGTAAATTATTTACAGATATTGCTCAGAAATACTTCAAAAAGCTGCATTGTTCACATTTCTACTCGTGGTTATATAGAAAATTAGCCAGTACTACTCAGGTCAGTAACTGAGAGACTCATGACTACAAAAACCTTTTATTCACACTAACAATGAGAAAAGAAGACCACAGGCAAGTCATTTTAATGCAAAGTGGCATTTCAGGGCACCCTCAGTAAGTCTGCAGATGACACCAAGTTAGGTGGGTGTGTTGATCTGCTGGAGGGTAGGGAAGCCCTTCAGAGGGACCTGGACAGGCTGGACCAATGGGCTGAGGTCAGCTGTGTGAGCTTTAAAAAGGCAAAGTGCCAAGTCCTGCACTTGGGCTGCAGCAACCCCAGCCAAAGCTACAGAACTGGGGAGGAAAGCTGCTTGGCAGAAAGGGACCTGGGGGTGTTGACCAACAGCCAGCAGAACATGAGCCAGCAGTGTGCCCAGGTGGCCAAGGGCATCCTGGCTTGTGTCAGGAATAGTGTGGCCAACAGGACTAGAGAAGTGATCATCCCACTACTCAGCACTGGTGAGGCTGCATCTGTACTGGGTTCAGTTTTGGGCACCACAGTACAAGAGGGACACTGAGGTTCTAAAGAGGGTGCAAAGGGCAACAAAGCTGGTGAAGGGTCTTGAGGGTAAGCCTTATGAGGAGCAGCTGAGGGAACTGGGGTTGTTTAGCCTGAAGAAGAGGAGGCTGGGGGGTGACCTTATCTCTCTCTACAGCTACCTGAAAGGAGGCTGCAGGGAGGCAGGACTCTTCTTACCTGGTGCAACTGACAGGACAAGAGGAAATGGTATCAAGTCATGCCAGGGGAGGTTTAGGTTAGACATTAGGAAAAACTTCTACAGCAAAAGGGTGATAAGGGCTGGAACAGGCTTCCCAAGGAAGTGGCTGAATCACCATCTCACCATCCCTGGATGTATTTAAAAGCCATCCAGATGGGTTGCTCAGGGATATGGTGTAGAGGTGGCCTGGTGGAGTTAGGCAATGGTTGGACTTGGTGATCTTAAAGGTCCTTTCCACCAATAGTGATTCTGTGATTTGTTTCTAAAAGCAAAACTTCTGAAAGAACAGAACACACTTTTGAAAAGGAAGCCTTCACTCACTCTGTGTCTGCTGTCACACTGCTTAAAGCACAGTCCAACAGCCCAACTCGATTTCTTGTTCTAGGATCCCAGCATTCCACTTTACCCTGAAAAGTTTAGAAAATACATTTCAAGCTTACGCAACAAGATGTCTGGTATTCAGAGTATGTTTAAATAAAATTGTGAACTATTTCATCTATGAATAATTAATCAAATGTCTTAGGTTGACCTAAGTTTTTCTAATAATGGCATACAAGCTCCACACATTTAGTTAACATTTTTTCAAAATGTGATCTGATTCAAATTAACCAATGCTAAATTTCCAAAGATTAATTAGGGTATAGCTGCTAGCTAATTTCTACAGATGGCTATACCATAAAGCAAGATAACTTCATATTCTCTCCCATCTGCAAAATCTTGGGCATCTCAGCAACCAAGGTAGCTCATAAATTATATCTGCCCTGTGCTCTAAAAAATCTTCTTGTTTAATGGATCTATACTTAACATAATAAATGAGATCAAATTAATTAAGTTCCTGTCATGATTTCTTCTTATCCTCATGCAAACTAATATAAAAAAAGAAACAAACACTACTGCTCTTTTTATAAAAGGAATGTAAACATTTACCTCAGCTGTCCCCATAGCAAACAAAAAGTGCACAGGATTTATGTCACAGACGTTACTCTCTCTAAAACAGAAAAAGGAACAAGTTTAACGACCTCAGAATAATTTAACACATGAACAACTAAAGATTTCTGTAATCCTGTACACTATTGCTCAGCCTGGAAAAGCAAAACCTGGAGGGGAGGGATGGATGGCCACCTAGTAGCAGCTTCCCTACTTTTTGTGCTACGTAGATAACGAAGCACTGGAGCAGGCTGCCCATGCAGGGTGTGGAATTTCCATCTTGGAGTTTTCAAGACCCCCTGGGAAAATCTGTCTGAATTCAGTGTGACCAAGCCTTGAGCAAAAGGCTGAGCTCTGAGGTTCCCTCTGAGCTATATGATTCTGTGTTTCTCTGCCCATACCCACCACAAAGTCTTGTTTAAGAATATAGCAAAGTGGTAAGACAACTCAAATATGTCAAAAGGTCTTCCCAATTACATCCTGAAGCTTACATTTCCAACATATACTGATGGTCTGCCTGTCTTTCCCTCGCCCAAGTACATTATCTCTCAACAGGTCACCCAAGAGCCCTGTATTTCTCCAGTTCTTCCAGAGTACTAATATTTCTCTGTACATCACTCATCCTGACGCTTCCCAACTTCTTCCATTCAAAGCTCTCCACCTCTCATTCTGTAAATCATCCAACATCCCCACCTAACAACCTTCTCACAACTTCAAGCGTCATCTCTCCAATTCAGATTTTACACTGCACCCTTAACTCTGATGCTGCAGGATTCCCCTACCCTGTTTTTTTCCTGCTGCTTAGTTTCTGTATTGTGCTTTCCCAAATATTGCTTTGTCCACTAAGCTATCCCACCCACTGAGCACCAGCTGTTGCCCACCAACTAGCCACTTTATCTTGTCAAGTCTCTTCTCATCTGCTTCTCCCCAAATAAAAGAAGCCCAGCTCCTGCTCTGGTAGGGTTTTCAAAAGAATCAGACACGTGCTGGAGATACAAAAACTCTTTCTGGGCTACTCCAAGAGCAGAAGGACAAAGACATGTCTGGGAAAGTACATACCCTGTGGGGAGATCTCTCTATGACGGCTAAATTGAGCAATAATGGCAAAGTTTTAATGAAATGCTCTTAAGATCAAGTTATATAATACCTATTACAAGTCTATATTAAGCAATTTTAAAATATCCACAAAAATGCCTCAATTAAAACATAAAAACTAGAACAAAGAATTACAGAACATAAAATAAAATGAGGCTCAGACTTGACATATGTTCCTTTGCAACTCTACAAGGCATTTGGGCAGTATTCAGATACAGTACTGGTGGTGAGCATGCTAGTAGTTTGCTTCCACCTGGTGGAAAGAAAGCAGATAGATATCATGGGTTACAGATAACTTACGAAGCATCAGTCTGCAGGGAGTTGAGAAACCTTCCTTGTTCCAGATTTAGCCTGTATACTTCTGAACTACGAAAGAAAAATCCAAAATTACTCCCCTCTCTTACAAATACTGAAACATACTGTTCTAAGTTAGGAAAAGTTACAAAGTTACTCATGCTGACAGCCTAATTTTACCAACTACACAATCTTCAGACTTCACATTCTAAAACGTAAAACACCTATCCCTCAGTGTTAAATACAGAGAAAAACGTGTATATTCACTGAAGGCATTCACTACACTGTTCTACTACAATAGGACAGTATCCTATCCTATTTATTACAATGGTCCACCAATTATTCTTCCAGGGAAAAGATGCATTAATTGCTTTCTTAAAAGTCTTTTCACTTCCTATGATTTATATTACATCTTGAATTGCTACTTATTTTGTCTGAAACCCTAAAGACCTCGTTTCATTTTAACGTCTTCTCACAAACTCAGCTGATTGTTTTATGTGATTTCACTTGCACATTAACAGCAAGAAGCACCAACCAGAATAGAAAAACTTCATTTTCTCTACTTAGATGCTAATCACTTTTTAAACAGTACACTGAACTGCAGCATTTTATAACAATTTTGCAAATGAATAATGCTTAAAATCAAAAGAAAAAGGTCTAAAACCAGTACAGGAATCTGAATTAATCCTAATCTTCCTGCATGTTGCACTCTTCAGCCTTCATTATTAACTTGTAAAGAATTGCCACTTCTTCCCATTTTTAACTTTCCTGGTACTTTAATGCTCATTCTACTTTTGGAAAATGTGGCTAACAAAAGTGAAACACAATAATCCACTTAATTGATACCTGGCTCCTACAAAATACAGGTCACACGATGGATAGTGATAGGAGAAATCTCTACCAAATTTTGGTATTCTGGTCTTGTAGTAATGGCCGTGCTGTGAATGGAACTCCACAAACCTGCCACACTGCAAAAAGACAATCTGAAAACAAAATAGAAAGCATTGACATACACAGAAGCAGACGACAATCTCCTCAACTTGTCTTGCAGCATAAACTCCAGTGATTTTTTTAATTTAAGCTCTCACAGGTTTACCACAATTTGTTTAAACCACTTCTATTAAAATTATAGAACTAGTGCTTCATCATTCTCACTAGATGCAGCAAACAGCTTTAATAAACATTAAATTAACATTCTCAAGAGCATACATGATACCCTGAAAGTGACTCTGCAACCGGAACCAGAGTATTCACCTCAGTGTTTGCTGTACCAAAACTAACATCTGTACTTCTTTCACACAGCAGAGTTAGCAATATTTCAGCTATAATGCTGTGCAGACACCAATATGAACTAAGCACATGAACTATATGTCCTGAAGCACAGCAGCATTCCAATACATCCTTATCTCTAAGATGGAGAGACATGGACTTGATGGATGAACTAGTTGGTGGGTAAGGAACTTGCTAGAAGGTTGCACTCAAAGATTTGTGATCAGTGGCTTGAAGTCCAGGTGGAGACCAGTGACAAGTGGAGTTCCTTAGGGTCTGTTCTGAGTCTGGTGCCATTTAACATCTTTGTCAGTGACATGCACAGTGGCACTGAGTGCACCCTCAGCAAGTTTGCTGATGACACTAAGCTGTGTGGTGCAGTGGACTCACTTTGAGGGAAGGTGGGCCACCCAGAGGGACCCTGACAGGCTGGAGAAATGGGCCAACACAAACTGCATGAGGTTCAACAAGTCAGTGTGCAAGGTCCTGCACCTGGTTCAGGCCAATCCCAAGCACAACTACAAAATGGGCACAGAGTTCACTGAGAGTAACCCTGAGGAGAAGGACTTGGGTGTGTTGACTGACAAGAAGCTCAACATGAGCCAGCAGTGTGCTCATGCAGCCCAGAAGGCAAACTGCATCCTGGGATGTATCAAGAGGGAGGTGACCAGCAGGTCAAAAGAGGTGATTTTCCCCCTTTGCTCTTGTGAGACCCCACCTCAAATACTGCATCCAGTTCTGGTGTCCCCACCGTAAGGGGGACATAGATCTGTTGGAACAAGTCCAGAGGATGGCCACAAAGTTGATCCAGGGGCTGGAGTATCTCTGCTATGAGGATAGGCTGAGGGCACTGGGATTGTTCAGCTTGGAGAAGAGAAGACTCTGGGGGGACCTTATGACTGTCTTCCAGTACCTGAAGGGAACCTACAGGAAGGCTGGAGAGGGACTTTTCACAAGTGTGTCCAGTGACAGGACAAGGGGAAATGGTTTTAAACTGAAGGAGAGAAGGTTTAGACTACATCTTGGGAAGAAGTTCTTCAGTATGAGGGTGGCGTGTCTCTGGAATATGTTGCCCAGAGATGTTGTGGATGCCCCCTCCCTGGAGGCATTTAAGGCCAGGTTGGATGAGGCCTTGAGCAACCTGGTCTAGTTGAGAAGCATCTCTGCCCATGGCAGATCAAATCTTTTCTCTATCATCACCGCAAAAGAAGAAATGTCTGCAACTTCATGCAGCATAGAAGCTACATAAACTATGAGAAGAACAGAAAATTAAACTATATTTAACTTAAAACTATCAGTATCACATTCTCTTAGTTCACTACCAGTAAACCATTAAAAACTCGTTACCAGAAAGAGAGAAGATGCAGTTTGTTTTGTGAGAAAAGTGAATTTTCTTCTCACCTACTCTACGCCCAAAAAGATTTTTACAAAGTTTCTGATATTTGCAAAAAGAACCGTACAGCCTAATGATTGCCTTACCTCTAATGATTTTCTATTTTAAGATAACTTTGTACAATCCTGGACTCAAAGATAGCTGTGTCCTCTTTCATTAGCAGTGAATACAATTCACCATTAATCATTTGTCTTTCCTTCATACTAAATTTTGATCACTACCACAGAACAACCAAACAACCAAAAGCATAACCACTGGTGTGTGACAAAAATACTGAGTGGAAATATGTATCTTTTTGTAAAAGGTTGTGGAAAAAAAAGACAACACATACAAAGAAAAGTTGGAAGAATCCTTGCCTGACGGGCAAGGAGCACCCTGCAGGACAACCCAACAGCATGCAGCAATTGAACTGCAGCTACTAAAGTGAGTCACAACTCTTTGCAGTAACAGCAGTAAAAATTTCAGATTTAGCTGAGCAGGAAGGAAAAATTCTTTATGATGACATAGTGCAAGAATTTATTTGGTGAATCTGTGGAACTATCATGCTTGCAGTTTTTGTAATTTCTTGCCTGAACAGGACTGTCATCTGAAGGCCTTCCAATCAATATCTTCATGATTCTAAGCATTTCAAGTGTAATTTCTCAGAAACTGTTCCCTCCTTCTACCATGTTCAAAATATTATGACATTTATCTGAAATTAGCTTTCTTTCTGATGATTTGGTGTTAGGAAAATAAAACTGAAAATAAGGTTGTATTAAGTTATGCAAATAAGGCTTCTATTTGAAATACAATACAAATTTCAGCTGAAAACACACACAAGCCTTACTGTTCACAACCAGTCAGAAATAATATTTGCCAAAACAATGTGTTCCTCAGTCTCCCAAATAACTGTTTGGTCTGTACAACCAGAAACGTTCTCCCACAGACAGACAGAAAAGTAGGGGCCTACTGCATTATATCAGTCGCCTTCTTCTGCTACTTGAATGCACACACATTCTTGGAAACCTCACAAGGTTGAAAAGACTAAAGCTAGATGATAATGTCTCTGATCAAACAAATATTTATTAAAACAAACCTGTACTGGAAATGCTAAGGTCTCTTCTCAGAAAAAAAAAAAAAAAAACAACTATTAAAATAAACAACTTTAAAAAGAAAAGGCTTGTCCTAAAGAAATCAGTAAAATTATATGCTTAAATTTCATATTTAATTTGGAATATAACACCTTGATGAAATGGCAAAGGAAAGTTTACAGAAAGAGGTAGCATCCTTTATTACACCAGCTGCTGCAGCTGAATAAAAGTCGAGTGTTAAACAGAATTAGAGGCAGTAACTGTGTTGGGCCTGAAAAAGGCTGGGTCCCAAGAATTCAACTGTTTCCTCCAAGTACAGCACATCATTTAAAAAAAAAAAAAAAAAAAAAAAAAAGAAAACACTACTTCCCTCCACAATTTCTGCCACCTTCATATGTTTAGAATCATCAGGGCTACACCAGCACTGACAAATCAGGCTATCAATGTACCTATAGCTATCCCACCTCTCAAAACCGGCGTATCGGTGTATCGCTTGCCACAGGACGTAGTGACAAAATTTTATCCTAGAAAGGCTCACTAATTCCATTTTTCACATTATTTTGTTTGTAGAATGCATCATTACTGGAAGTGTTCCTCTGCTACAGACAAAAGACTTTAAAAGTGGTAAGGCAAATTATAACACAAAGAGACAAAGTAAACATTTTCAAGGTACAAAAAAACCGTTTGGCCTGTTTGCTTTTTCAAAAAACCCCTTTGTGGTCCAAAAGTTTTGTTGACTGACTGCCTTTACTATATATGAAAATGCATTTTAATATACATATTAAACAATTTTTTCATTTACACATTGGAAACAGCAAACATACCTTTGAGTAATCATCTGATAAAATCTCAAACGTAACCACTAGAGGAGAGAGAGCAAGAGAATTTTAAGTAAACTAAGTAAGCAAACTTTTTGCAAACATTGGCATAAATCCTGAAAACATTTACACTCGTTCTAACATTTAGTCATGTAAGTATTCCCCACAGGTGTCAATGCATCACACAGGCCTTGTGATAACATCTTTAATTATACAACTTCATTTGCAAAATCGTAATAGCATGCTAAACTTTAGAAATATATGAAGCATCTTGTAATCTTTTTATCATTCTTGTATACTCCACACATGTTCCTCAACACAACGCTCAATCATGTATTTATTGGCTCGGGGAAGGTCTCATCAAATGTTCTTCAGTGAGTGTGTGGTCCATGGACCTTCAGTGATGACGATGACATGAGTTCAAACATACTACATACAAAACTGCACATGCAATCCTCCTAAGGGGTCAGCATTCCACCAAAAAAAAATTTAAGGCTCATAAAATAGTTTTAGAAATCACAAATCTAAAAGCTACTATCCACACCAAACACTGGAACATATTGAACCCTGCTTACTTTTACATGAGCTGGGTTGGGAACATTAGGGAGTAGCTGCTTCAGCTAAATTGGTTCCATTTAAATGAGGGAGCTCATTTAAAGTTACCTGAAGTGACTCTAGACTACGTTTCAAATTAAATATATATTTACAGTCTAGTAAGGTGCCAGTTTAGAAACTATTTACTTTAAACTCTAATTATCAGCAAGCATTTACTCTTACAATGACTCCTCTTTTAAGTGGGTCTCACTCTTGCCATACCTTCCTCTCCTCAGCCTCCCTGAAGCCCCACCACTACCACATCCCCTCTTCCTATGCTGTAGCACTCTCTCTTCACCCTACATGACTCCTTGCAGTCCTAAGGCACAGGGTAAAGAAACACCACCATATTCTGCTTCCCTTTTCCTGACCCAGTCAGTAGTTCTCAATTTCTGTGTTTCACACCACTTTCACACACATCACAGACAGACCAGCTTCATTCTTCCATAATGATTTAGGACTTCTGCCACTCTATGCTCAACCCCCCCATTGCTTTGGTCACCCCCTGTATCCCACTTTTCAACCATCAATCTTCTAACATCCCAACCTTCTAACAAAAATCAAAACAACCAACCCAAATATTCTGCAAATTTACACACCCTAAAATTCAGAAGAGCAGCAGCTCTGACCTCCTCCCCTCATCTAACTGCCAGCAGATACGTCCCCTCCCTTTGTGTAGATGGCTCCTTGCTTTCCTCACCATACTTCTCCCTTCAAATGAGTAGCAAACAAGGTGTAATTAGTGCCTTGGCCATGCTACCATCTGTCCTTAAGTACCTTGCTTCCAACAAAATGAACAAAACACCAAAACAAACCAAGTGACCAACCCGCCCAACTCTCTGAGCCTCGCTCTTACTGCCTCAAAGCAAACCTGACAATTCCTCACACTGCTCCAAGAGAAGAAGCAACTTTGAAAGAGGAGAAAAAGGGAAAAACAGAGGGATAAAGACTAGTTGATGTTTTACTCTAGATTCCGGTGTTCTGTTGCCTCAGCACAGGGAGGGAAATTTCTACTCCAGTCCAGCCTGATTAGCTATGAAAGGTACCTTGTACTAACAGCCACAGCTTATACTAACCTTCAGAGTCTAAGCATCTCTCAAATTTCTGGGATAACTGATAGGTATCAAAACAGCGGATCCTTGGCTTGTAAGTTCCTGAAAGAATAATTTGATCTTTAGTAAAAAATCTAAACAACATGATAACATTAAAGCATTTCTTTTTAAAACATTGCCTTACATATAGAAGCTTTATTGCATTTCAGTTCTAAGTAACTTGATTTTACTGAAGTCTCTGTGACTGGAAAAACATGCCTCTTAGTAACATAACCTTACAGCCTGTTTTTTGTCTTTAGCTCTCCAAAGCATCCTGCTTGTATGTAGGTTCTTCTGATTCCCAGATACATCTATCAGAACTTAACAATACCTTCCAGAAGACCTGAAAGACCAAGTCTCCTTATGCTATTAACATCTACTGAAGTATTCGTGTTTGGATTCTCCTTCGACAGTTTCAAAGTGTGGTACTATCACTTAGCCTCTAAAAAATACTCAAACAACAATGCTCAGAATTATTCAAAGCAAAATAAATATGAATTTAGAGTTTAACTGTATTATAAACAGTTTTGCTTATCATTTATTAAAAAATCCCACAGGTTGGACTAGACAGTCTTCAAGGGTCCCTTCCAACCCAAATCATTCTATGATTCTAAGAGCACCTGCATTCTAAAAAGAAGCATTTCACATACCACTACCAAGACAACCACTCTATCTATCACATCTCAAGACTAAGCTTCCAAAACAATACTCCATGCTACTATTAAAAATGAACTCTTACCTATTCTACCTGAAACACTAAGTCATTCTGCTAGCAAGATTTTCCAGCACTTTTGGCCTCTGCTACAGAGAGACACTTTGTTAACTCACCAACTGCCATAATATACTGTCCATCTCTTGATACCTTAATCTTTGTGCTAACCGTTGGCATTTCAAAGTCTTGAATAAGTTCAATTCTTCTACGGATATCTGTAAAGGAAAAAAAAATATTTTTTTTGCAAAGATAGCACAACATTATCAGTCCCCAAATCTGTAATATTTTCTTATGGAAGCATATTGAGTTAACTGAATATAGTATCTTTTAAGATCTTTTAAACTATAAAGACCTTTCAACTACAATTCACCCCTTATGAGCAGATTACTGCAGTCTGTTAATCCTGAGAAGCAGGCTATCTCCACACAAAACTAAAGTCTACTCTCAGGTAACTATGTAATAAATTATTACATATTGGAGTAGCAAATGTACTTATCACACATTTTACACAACTAAGATGTTGCATAATGTATGCCATCCTCCTGTTAACTCCATGCAATTTTTGTTCATTGAGTTTCTTATACTACACTCCCTATGGCATGTAGATAAGACATTTCTGTTTTGTATAGTAAGTTCAGGGTTAACATGATGATGTTCCTGCACTCCAAGTTAAGCATAATACCACAGAGGAGTTTCTAGTTGGACTTTATTATAACCTATACATGGAATTCACCCATCACATTTCTGTACCATCTACAACACCAATATTTAATGCCTGAAACACAGAACAACACTAGTAATTTCTGTTCACACAGAGCTATACAGAAAGTTAAAGTAACTGTTTACAACTTTAATTTTGAAGTTTTTAAAATATGAGCTACACATAACTTCCTTCTGTCAGTCTGTAAAGCATTCCCCTCTGGATGTGCATGTTGTGTAGGTGTAGCAGAGTATTACTGAAGACCCCGAGATGGGAAAACTCACCCACATCCTTCTTCTGTAAAGCTCTTTTTCTCCTGTCTGAGAGCCACTGTAAGAAAATATATAAATCAGTATTGAGCTCAGTATTCATAAAGGAACCAGAGAATCGCTTAAAATTTATGCAAATTGAAAGCATAAGACACTTGAGCCGTTAATGCCTTGTTTTCTCCATTTTTCTTAAGTTTCCACTGGTAAGTTTAACCATTCCATACCAAGAAAGCTCACAAAGCCCTGGGGTTTAAGGTCCGTAGCAGCCCACGCCGACACGTAGATCTGCGCGCAGCCAAAACACGTGTTGAGTTTAAAACCCACTGGTAGCCGGCTTTAGCTACGGGCCGCACCCTCAGCCAGGCGCGCAGGAGCCCGGCCCCAAGGGCGCCT